TTGGTCTTCTTGCTGTTGAGATGTAATCCATATTCGAGACCATTGTCCTTGATTTTCCGCAGCAAGTACATCAATTTCAAGTCCTTGTTTTCAGAAACTAAGGTTGTATCACCATACAATACAGGGTTTTGATGAATCTTCCTTCAATCTCAATGTCTCATAGTTCTCTGAGAAGTCCAGCTACTCAAACAATTTGCTCAGCATAAGGACTGAATAGGCATGGAGAAAGGATACAGCCCTGATACACACTTTTCTTGATTTTAAACCATGCAGTATTTGCTCTGTTCAACCACAAGATCATGGTCTAGGTTTAGTTTATGTGTAAGCATGGTTCTTCATTTAAGAATTAGCATAATTCTTAATTTAAGATAAAGAATTACTGATTTAAGAATTTATTCTGATGATTGGTTCAGTTATTATTCCTTGTCTAGCTGCCTGAAAAACACAGGTAAAGAGTTTAGTTTTTCTATCCAGTACCCCAAATGATATAAGTGTATAGGAAGAGTCTTATTTTTTTAAATATTATTTTGGTAAAATATATATGATAGACAGTGAAGAGACTGAGATTGTTAACAGCTTTAGCTTGCTTGGCTCCGCAATCAACACTCTTGGTAGCAGCAGTCAGGAAATCAAAAGACGAATTGCATCGGGAAGGTCTGCTGTCAGGGACCTCTCGAGTACTGAAGAGCAATAATGTCTGTCTGGAGACTGAGGTGCACCTGATCCAGGCCATGATCTTCGCAATTTTGTGCTATGCATCAGAAAGCTGGACAATAACTAGGAATGATAGGACAATTGATGTCTTTGAGCTGTGGTGATGGAGAAGAGTATTGAATATACCAATGGACTGCCAGGAGAACAAACAGGTTCAACCTGTTGTTGTTGTTGTTATGTGCCATCGAGTCGTTTGCGACTCATAGCAACCCTATGTACAACAGCCCTATCTATCCTGCTCTATCCTGTGCCAATCGCATTGCCTCTGACACACCCATCCCGATTACCCCAGTCACTGAATCAATCCACCTCATAGAGGGTCTTCCCCTCCTGTACTGTCCCTCTACTCTACCCAGCATGATGTCCCTCTCCAAAGACCTGTCTCTCCTTGCAACATGTCCAAAGTATGTCAGATGAAGCCCCAGAATCTTTGCCTCCAAGGAGTAGCCTGGTTTAACCCTCTCTAGGACGAATCTGTTTGTTTTCTTGGCGAGAGTAAAACCAGGCTGCTCCTTCGCTGCAAGGATTATGAAGCTTCATCTGACATACTTTAGGTATGTTGCAAGGAGGGACCAGTCCTTGGAAGGGACATCATGCTTGGGAGGATAGAGGGACAGCACAAAAAAGGAAGACCCTCGATGAGATGGATTAATTCAGTGACTGGGGTAATGAGGGTAGGTGTATCAGAGACAATAAGTTTAGCTCAGGTTAGTGCAGGTTTCAGGGCTGTTGTACATAGGGTTGCTGTAAGTCACAGGACATAAGGCCAACAAATATTACAAAAATTGAGTAATCATTAAATTCTTGGCAAAAAGAAGTGTTTATAATTTTTACATAGTTAGTTTTGCTTAATGTTACATAAAGCAAGAGATTTAAGAATGGAATGTATGGGAAGTGATTTATATGAATAAAATTAATTTGGTATATTGTTTACTATTACTGATTACAGTATTTCTCAAGTGAATGTGGTGGTCCTCATTGGGGCTATTTTGTCCCCAGTGACAACACTTCTGGTTGAAAAGACTAAGGAGTGCTAGGAGTGCTACTGGTATTCTGAACTCTGATGACCCAGTGGGTAAAAAGCTGTGCTGCAATCCCAGAGGCAAATGGTTTGAATCTACCAATTGCTCTATAGAAGGATAGGTAATCTCATCCCATGAGAGTTAACTTCCTCTTAAAACCCACTGAAGTGTAAGCTTTGGATTGGTTCTGACTTGATATTTGGTGGGAAGAAGTCCAGGATGCTGCTAAAGCAAACATAGGACTCACACTCAAAGTTAGGTAGTTTAAAAGAAAAAAAAAAATCAACAGTACCAAGGTCAAGAAATCCCAAGTAAATCCTATTGGTAAGAGGAAACTAAATGCCATCAGCAAATAAACCAACGTTTTTCTGATTCCTTTAGTTCTACTATAAATCCTCCTACTGGGGAAGCAAATTAGGTTTAGAACACACTCAACTGAAATTCCTATTTTTAGGCAGAACAGAGCAAGGAAACACTGGATGGTTCAAAATCAGGAAGGCTGTACACCAGGGATGTGTCCTATCTCCATACCTTTTCAATCTATATGTGGAACAGATCATCTGGGGGGCTGGGCTCTTTGAGTAGGAACATGGCATTAGGTTTGGAGGAAGACTCATCAACAACCTGCCTTATGCAAAATGACACAACCTTGCTTGCTGAAACTGAGGAGGACTTGAAACACTTGCTTTAGAAGGTCAAGGACTGCAGCCTTTAATATGTATTGAAGCTAAAGAAAACAAACATTTTCACCACTGGGCTGATTGGCACCATCATAAAAGATGATGAGGAGACTGAGATAACGTTAAGAGAGAGCTTCAGTTTGGTTGGCTCCAAAATTGGTACCAGCAGCCAGGAAATCAAAAGACAAAATACAAAGGGCAAGTCTGCTGTTAGGGACATCTCCAGAGTACTGAACAATAACAATGTCAGTCAGGGGACTAAGGTATGCCTGATGCAGGCCATCGTCTTCACAATCACTTGCTATGCATCAGAAAGCTGGACAATGACTAGGGATGAGGGAAGGAGAATGGATGATTTTGAGCTGTGGTGCTGGAAAAGAGTACTGAATATAACATGGACTGCTAGAACAAACAGATTCATCCTGGAGAGGGTTAAACTAGGCTGCTCCTTGGAGGCAAGGATTCTGGGGCTTTGTCTGACACATTTTGGACAAGTTGCAAGGAGGAACCAGTCCTTGGAGAGGAACATCATGCTTGGGGGGGTGGAGGTACAGTGCCAAAAAGATCCTTGATGAAATGGATTGACTCTGACTGGGGAAAGGGGGTAGGTGTGTCAGAGACAATAAGGTTGGCTAAGGATAGAACAGGGTTCAGAGCAGTTGGACACAGGATTGCTGTGAGTCTCAAAGGACTCGACAGCACCTAACAACATGTACTTTAGGGGACTACAAACATATGTATGACAACCTGATAGAAAATGAGACTAAAATACAAATAAACAGAAACAAAATGCTTCTAATCCTTTCTAGAATCTTGCAAAATTGTAAATCACTTGCCTTATACCCCGGGGTTGAGAAGTGGTCAGTAATATACCTGCTTCATGAAAATATGTTTAATGTAATACACTGCCAGTAAGGATTGGCTACAAATATTTCATAATATTCATCCTCTGGACAGCACTTTAGAAACAAAAGCAAAAAGTATTGTAAGAATTACTTTCATTTATGTAAATCTATAATTTAGAATAGATTATACTGCCTAAATTAAGAATGATAATATAAAAGTCGGAAAAGTTCATCAGTAAGAGAATGTGGGAAACTTGCTTGGACATGAAAGAGATTTTTTAAAAAGGTTTTTTATTAGCATGTGTCAAGGTGATTAAGATTTTTAACAAACATCTTAATCCTCACAACAACCCTGTGAGGTAGGTAAATAATAGTTTTGTAATAAATTTATTCTTCCAGATAAAATGCAATTGCTAAAATAATAAATCTGCATAAAAATAACTTTAATGATATCATTTCTGTATATTTTAATATTTGTATTTTTGTAGACTTTGATTCATAGAATAAGGAGCCCTGAAAAGTTTACTGTGAATCAAATCCTATTTAAATACACTTGAGATACCATTTAAATAAATCCTGTGATGAATTCTTTTATAAAATAAACCACTATTATTTTATTTAAAAAAACAAATGGAGTATTTGGTCAGAATGATAAAAATACCTACATATATCTATTCTCATTTTTCATTAAGTTATCTCAGCGGCACCAAACCAATGTAAGATTTAATTTACTGAGTTTAACCTTAGCAATGTGGTATACGGCAGTGAACTGTTTTTACATAAATCTCCAAATCTGTTACATTTAATCTCAAACAGAACTCTAAGGCAGACTATTTATTAAAATGTAAACACTAAAATAGAGGCTGATAAATTTCAAGTGTTCTCCCTTGAAAATCTTTAGTTTTTCCTATGAGAGACAGAGGGATCTGGGTCTTAATACTGTGACAACTATAAAATTACAGTAACTTACACTGCAAACCAAAGCTTCCGGCTAACAATTTATCATTACATGGAAACTAACAATGTCACCTTAAGAATACAGTCATTTTCTCCTGCCAATGTAAGATTTACAAGATAAAGAATATTCACAGGCATTTAATTTCCCCTCACATTCACAAAATACATATTTATTGTTAGTCTGACATTAATAACTATCCCATTGGATAAAATTTTTTATAGCTGACTTATTTGTGAAACAAATTTTAAAGACAATTACTATTAGGTTTAATTATTAGATAAACAGGATAGTTAATAGATTTTATTTGTAACAATAACTATAAGCCTGAAAGCTCAGGAAACACGTAAAATCCATGGCAAGTTTATAATACTTTAGAGAAAGTACTTAATTTTCCATTATAAATGCATAGTTCAAATTGAGAAAATACACTAGTCCTAAGTATTTTTTAAAAAGTTTAGGTGGGCAAATTAGGGAAATAGAGAAAATAAATTAATCCACTTGTAAACTGTACATTGAAATCCACTCCAGATCCATTAGTGCACTTTGCTTTATAGTGAGGTAGGGACAAGAAATATATTCAGATCTATTTTGAACTGTAAAATTTATATAAACTGAACTATGTACTTCTAGCCAGTTTTCATTTGGATATACAAAAAGAAAAATTCAGAGTTCAAAGGACACAGAGTTCTTGGATACATGGACAGGATTTTAAAAATAGTTGCCAAGTCCCCCCAACCCCCAAACTTTACAAGTACATATAAATAAAAACTGCAAAGTCTATAAGATATATTTTATTTAAGCTTAAAATATGCTTGTATAAAAAGAACCCAGGAAATAGAAAAAAACATATACATTTTGCATAGATTTTCTGTAAAAAACATTTGCCGGGGGGTTAAAACACTGGATAATACACCTCTGAAACTAGTATAGTTGAACTCTGTTCTTGGATACCAAGCATACACAAAAAAGCAGCCCTTAATTTGGGGAGCATGGGCAGGAGGGAAACGATGTCTTTTAGTATCAGTCTATTTTATTTTTCTGTTGCTCTAATATAAACCAATGATGACAAGAGGAGAAACTCTGGGGGTTTATTTAACAAAATTAAATTCACATTTCTGAGGCCATCATAGTGCATCCAATGTCCATCAATCTGGAAAGCTGCAGAATAATGATGTTCCTCTTTGTTAAATAATGTGGCACCTTCCAATAAATACCTGCAATGTAAATGATAAACTGTAGCAGAAAATTATAATACTTGTTCTTAATATCCCTTATATTCTTAACAAAAAAAATATTAAGATTTGCATCAGTTCCTTTAAAAACATGTCCATCTTTACAGGGGGTAATTTGAGGCAAAATGTTTAAGAATCTTTGGACAGAACATTAGGTTTCCTTTAACTATTTTTTTATGCAAATTGTTCCATGCCATTGATTAGAATTTTTACATGATGCTAACATTTTCAGTATTTCCAATGATCTAGTGTCATTCTGTTTCCACTAATCTAGTTTTTGAGTAAATATTGACATGCTCTCAGATAAGTCACTGTTGAAAGGCTAACTATGTTGAAGAATGCTACTGCTTATCTTATATGGCAATCTATATTTTGACTGAAAAGTGCATGTAGGAATAGCTTTAATTTCATGTTGAAATGATTTATTAGGGTGATTTTTTTGAAGTTATTCTTATCTGTCCAGTAGGTCTGAAATAGCCTCTCCCCCCTTCATTTTCATTATTTGAATTCTCTTCTACATTTTTCTTCTACTCTACCCAGGATCTTCTATAGGCCCCAGAATGGTCACGTGTGTTAATCAGACATCATTTAGCTCTGTTCTCAGGTTAGAAAAGGCTGTGGTTCCTGCAGATTAGTTTCTTCTCTGAGCCTTTCTTGCACTTCATACTCTTTTGCTCCATAGAGGAAGACTAAAAACCTCTTACCAAACTAGGATGTAGAACATTATCTTTGTGATACATGTCACGCCATCTGAATATGTTGTGACAGTCTCAGTTCTTTATCCCTAGTGACCAATTCCTGTAAACTGGATAGATTTGTTGGTCTATGTACCCATTCTTTTTTTTTTAAATTGTTATTTTATATTGGCTTGCTTACAAAATTCATATACATTGTTTCACACTATCCTTCATACTGTGTTTCAAAGAATAATCTCCATTCATTATGGATTTTTTGAAAAGAAATAAAATTTTTATTTTATACTGGTTTACTTACAAAGTTTCTATCATTGTCTTTCACATGGGATCTTTCCTATTTCCTTTACCCATGCCTCCTTCCACCCATCAAATTGTGCAACCTTATGATTAACCCCCACCCCGCACCTCCAGCCCATCCTCTCCCCTCCCTGATTTGGATCCTCATACACATTCTACAATAATGGTCTTATAGGATTTGTCCTTATGGGACTGAATTTGTTCACTCAGCTTAATGCTCTCCAGTCCTTCCCAAGTTAGGTAGTGACTGTTCCTGTATGCTGCATAGTATGCCATTCATTGTGTGAATGTGCCATAGTTTTTCAATTCCATTATGTTTTATAAAATTAATCATCATTGATCTATGTCCCTCATTACCCCATCTTTCTAGATTCCCACCAGATCATTCCCATTTCCTTTACCCACCCCTCCCTCCACCTACCAAATTCTGAGACTCTGTGATATCTCCTTGGCTCATCCTCACTGTTCTGCTCCCACCTTCTCCCCTCTTGGATCCCCATACACGTTTTACTAGTTATCTATTTCTACAGTAATGGTCCTATGAAGTATTTGTCCTTAGGAGACTGAGCTAGTTCACTCAGCATACTTCTCTCAAAAGTTATGTAACCTTGTTCAAAATCACTGCTCCTGAGTGCTGTGTAGTATTCCATCATGTGAATATATCACAATTTCTCATGCTGTTTCCATGCTCTTGTGATAGTGAATAACCCTGCTATGAACACTAGTGTACAAATCTATTTGTATGTCACGTCTAATTTTTTAAGAGGATATTTCTAGCAGTGGAATAGCTGGGTCATATGGAATATCTACAGTACCAGTACTAGACTGCTTTATTGTGGCTGTGTAGGAAGTTTTCAGATCATAAGTGTGAGATCTTCTACTTTGTTCTTCTGCAATACTGCTTTCTCTATTTGAGGTCTTGTTCCTCTTCTTACAATGCTGGATTTAGATCAGGATAGCATTTTATCTACTGATTAAATTTGATAGTTGGGCATGGAATGGTTTTCTATTTACGTGGATCTCTTTGTTTCTTACAGTAATGTTTTACAGTTTTGCTTCAATGTCTTTTATGTCTCTAGTAAAGTTTACTCCTAGGTATTTTATCACTTGAGGAGGGGTATTGTAAATGGTATTGGTTTTTTATTTCCTCTTTATAGTCCTCATTTGTGGAGAGGAGCCCAATTGATTTATGTATGTACTATGCTTTATGTACCTCACCACTTTGGCGAAGCAGTTAGATCCTGTAACTTTTCTTTTGAAGGTTGAGAATTTTCTATATACAAAATAATTCGATCCGTGAATAAGGATACTTTTATTCCTTTCTAATTTGAAAACACTTTGCTTCCCTTTCTTGTGTTATTAGTTAGGATTTTCAGTACAATACTGGATAAGATTGGATAAAAGGCATTCTTGTCTTTTTCTCATTCTTAAAAGTGTGCTCATCTTTGTTGAGAATAATGTTAGCTGTTGGTTTTGCATGTATGTCCTCAATTATGTCGAGAATTTCCCCTTCTATTTTGCTGAGAATTTTTAATCAGGAATGGATGTTGTATTTTATCAACTGCATTTTCTGTGTGATTGAGAGGCAAATATGATTATTTCCCTTTGTTTTATTTATATGGTAAATTATATTGAATGATTTTCTAATACTGAGTCATGACTGCAATCTTCATATCAATTTGATCATGGTGTATTATTTGCATCATTATTTTGGAAAAGCTGTTGAATTCTGTTCTCTATATTCATGAAGGATGTTGGCCTATAATTTTATTTTTCAGTGTTTTTTATTTCCCCCTCAGGCTTTTGTACCAGGTTTATGCTAGCCTCACAGAATGAACTAGAGAACATTCCTTTCTTGTCTGTGTTCTAGAATAATTTCAGCAGAAATAGAGTGAAATCTTCTCTGAATGTTTGGTAGAATTACTCAATTAAGTTGCCTGGGTTGGAGCTTTTTTACTGTTGTTTTTATGAGGTGTCCCCTCCTCCTTCTATTTCTTCTTTTGTTATATGTCTGTTCAAATTTTCTCTGTCTATTCATGTTAGTTTAGAAAGGTACTGTGTTTCTAGAAATTTGTCTATGTTTTCAAATTTATTGAAGCATGCTTTTTAATCTATTATGATCTCTTAAAAAGATCTCATTTGTTTGCAATGTCATCCATTTAATTTCTTCTTTTGATTATCCGCAGCCTTTAAATTCCTTTGTCATTTCTGGCCAGAGGTTACATTTTTATTTATCCTCTCAAAGGATCAACTTCTAGCCTTCTGGATTCTTTGCTCTTTAGTTAATTTATTTCTTCTTTAATCTTTTCAATTTCTTGTTTTTTGGTAACTGAGGGTTTCTTTTGCTGCCCCTTTTCTATTTGAGTTATAAGATTTAACTAATGGACTTTAGTCCTTTTTTATCTTATGATTTGTGTTTTTAGTGCTGGAAAGTCTCCTCTGGGCACTGAACATTCATCTTGCAGTATCCCAAAGGTTTTAGCTATTTTATGACCTCATCTCATTTGAATCTAGGAATTTTTAAAAGTTACAATTTCTTAATTATCTAGAAAATTTGAAGTAATGTATTATTAAGTTTCCATTTATTGACATTTCCCCTTGTTCTGTTACAGAGTTCTAGTTCTATAGCATTATGATCAGAGACAGTGCTTTGTAATATCTAATGCTTTTGAATTTACTAAGGCTCACAATGTGGTTTAAAATATGGTATATTCTAGAAAAATATTTATATGTGCTTTACGTGGTATGTTCTGTGTATGTCTGTAAGGTCAAGTTGATTGTGTTATTTAGATCTTCTGTATATCTTTTGTTTCTAGTTTTTCTGTAGATGTCAAGTGGTGTAATAAAGCCTCTAAATATTATTTTTTAATTTTTTTCTGTTTTTAATTCTGTTAGAGTTTGTTTCATATATTTTAGAGCTCTATCACTTGATACATTTCTTATGGTTATGTCCTCTGGGTGAACTGATCATTTAATCTTTATATAAACTCCATTGTTTTGTTTCTTATAATGGATTTTAAATATCAGAGATCATTATTATCACTCCTCTCTTTGGCTACTGTTTTCTTGATAGCTTTTTTTCATCCTTGTGATTTCTAACCTGTTTATGGCTATACGGAATCTATTTATATCCTTTCACCCAGCAATATGCTGATGGTGATTATTTTTTGTGATTTTAGTGAAATTTTACAAAAAGACTTGTTGTATTCACTCATACACATTTTTCTCTCCTCCTCCCACCCAGATCACTTTGTAATGCTTTTCCTGCTCCAGATGCTATCAGACATATAATGTCTAGTTGAGCATTCATTTTAGGTTGTCCTCCTCTTTACCGATTCCAATGCACTATCTATCCTTTGTTTTCCTGCACTCCTTTTCCTTCTGCTCACCTGTCCATTCTATTGTTAATTAACAGTGGCCTAATGCAATATTTGTCCTTTTGACTGAAAATTTCACTCAGCACCTAATGAGCAGTAAGGCAGGAGAAGGAAATAAGTGACATCTAAATTGGCAAATAAAATGTGCGAGGAGCTAGAGTCAGAAAATCAAAGGGGCCGAACTCGCTCAGCATTTCTTAAGCTCAAGGAACTGAAGAACAAATTCAAACCTCGAGTTGCTATAATCAAGGATGCTTTAGGCAGAATATGAAATGATCCAGGAAGTATTAAAAGAAGATGGAAGGAATATACTGAGTCACTGTATCAAAAGGAATTGGCAGATACAGAAGAATTTAATGAAATAACATGAGCAAGAGCCTATGGTGATGAAGGAAGAAGTTCAAGCTGCTTTGAAGGAAATAGCAAAAAATAAGGCCCCAGGAATAGATGGTATACCAATTGAAGTATTTCAGCTAACAGATGCTGCCCTGGATGTGCTCACCAAGTTGTGCCAAGAAATCTGGAGAACAGCCACTTGGTCAACTGAATAGAAGAGATCTATATTTGTTCCCATTCCAAAGAAAGGTGACCCAACTGAGTGTGGAAACTACAG